AATACTGATCATTTCATCATCTTTGACATAGTTTTAGGGGGCAAGTGACCTGTGGTTTTCCTCTCATCTCTCTAACCATTCCAAATCACCTTACCTGAGTTTGCTTCCTCTTAGGCCTCACTTACAACCAAGCTTCTCTTTTTCCTGTATCTCCTGACTATTCCTACATGTCAGTGTTTCCCCCCTCCCTCATCTCCCCCATTTACCTGTCTACATAGTGGAGCCAATATCCTATTATACAAATGGAAGTGTTGATTTTCGCAGAACCTGTGACCTCCACATAGGCAACCTGTCCCAGCCAGCCCAGCTTTGATAGTGGCCTTCAGTTCTCTGGCTTCATCCATGGCCTTAGGAGCTTAACAAAACCTTTGCTGCAGCTGTATTCCTGTAGTTCATGACCACTCTCCAGCCTCCACCTTCATCAAAAGGAGACTGTCAGAAAGTCTGATTTTAGGGCCAGTGCCTCAGAGTTGTTGGACTTTGCTTCTGTGTCCATTCTCTTAAGATTGGAGCCTTAGTTGGACCTTCCATCTGGCTTTCAATCTCATCTTCACATGCTTGCTCTTAGACACCTTCAGCTTCATGGTCTCTGGCCTACAAACTAACCCAGGACTCCAGGGGTCTTGGCTCATATTCTGGAGTAGGGGGTGGGTTCCTACTGGGTTAGGAGTCAAATTCAGACTACTCAAGCTCAGTATGTCCTTTCAGACATGCAGATGTTTTGTTTGAGCCAATAGGACTTAACCTGTGGTGACCCAAATCCACAGAACAGCAATCCTGTTGTAACTATTCCTGATCCTTGATCTGGCTCATCTACCCTCATGACTTCATATTTATATTAGTCCTGGCCTCTTTCTGTTTTCTCACCCATAACTTATCTTTAGTACATCTCTTTGATTTTCTGCTCTCAGAGAAGTTTATTGATTGATTAGTTAATTCATCCAACAGACACATATTGAATATCTACTGGCTGGCTCTACAGATGGTCAGAGGCCAGTCAGAGAGTTAGACAAAATAAAGGGCTGTGTCAGTTAGTAGGCTTTTTATTGCCAGTGACAGAAATCCTGATTCAAACTGGCTTAAGCAAAAATAAAATGTATTCTCTCACATACCTGGCAAGTCTAGGGATAGATTTGGTTTCTTTCAGACACAGCTGGATCCATGGATCTTAAATGCTGTTTTTGGGACCTGGCCTGTCTTCCTCTCTCAGCTCTGCTCTGCTTTGCGATGGCTTCATTCTCTATGTGCGGTCTGCAACCCCCAGGGCCATGAACCAGTAGCGGTCAGTGGCATGTTAGGGACTAGGCGGCAGCACTACGCTGCCGCATCCTCAACCCAACCCTCCCCCCGCCACCCCCCATCCATAGAAAAATTTTCTTCCATTAAACTTAGGAGGGGGTGGGGGCGCACAGCAAGAGGTGAGTGTCGGGTGGTCCCTGCCTCCCCCAGTCCACGGAAAAATTATCTTCCATGAAACCGGTCCCTGGTTCCTGGTGCCAAAAAGGTTGGGCACTGCTTCTCTACATGGTAGCAGAATAGATTTTAACAGTGCCAGGTCCACATCCTCCTAGGTTTCAGAACAGTAGAAAAGGCGCCATGCTCTTAGCAGCCCCAGCAATGTCCCGCTAAGTCTCCCGGTTCCTGACTAAATTATGTACTCTTCCCTGAACCAATGACTTTCAGCAGGGGAATTTGGTGCTCTCATTGGTCACTAGAGTCATTTGGTCAGACTGGAGTCCTATCTCCCTTCCTTATAGCGCAGTGTGGCTCTCTTCAAGCACTTAAATTGAGAGTGAGGGTTATAGTGGTTCCACTGAGAAAAAGGTGATGGATGTGGGATGGTTTAAAAAAAAAAAAAAGCAGTCAGTTACAGTTATTAGGGCAGCCAACCACTTAAGTTTTATGGTAAGTATGCATGGTTAAAGTTAAAAATGGTTAAATGTGGCCAAGGGAGCCACATGAGATAAGCAAGGATTCTCTTTTCCCATACCCCCTTGCTTCTTCCTTTCCTTCAGCAAAATTTAGTGAGCACCTACTTTGTTCCAGGTGCAGAGTATAGATTGTCCTAGAAGTGGACCCTGCCCATAAGGAGCTTACAAAGTAGTGAAGAAGAGAGATGGCCAGGACAATGGTCCCATATTCATTGAGAATTTGTATTTTGAGTAATGGAAGTATAAAGAATATTTCTGTGTTTTTTATAAAATTAAAGAGACAGCTCTAACCATTATATTGTTTAACATCTTCTTTACCAGACTGTCTCGGTGAATTCTGTTTTTTTCAGTGCTTGGAATAAGTCTCTCTGGTATGCTTCCTTGAATAATCAAAGCTCCATAATCCGTATTTAAAAATTTTTTGCCTAGGCTGCTGTAAAATTTAGACTTAAAACCCGTGCTTAATTAAAAGTAGCTTTCCTTAGTGTAGGTTTCCCTTGAGATAAGTCTGCTTTTTTTTTTTCAATTGTTGGTTTATGGTTTTATGGTTTTATTGTACTAGGGACTTTTGTAGTAAGGTGGCTCAAAATGTGGAGATACAACAAATAAACAAAATACCTTTAATTTCCCTTTTCACCTTAGTAGTCTCCACTTTTGATCTGTAGGGTGTTGTTAATACATCTCCTACCAAATGCCTGATCATTCCCCTTCTCCTATATAGACATCTCTGTCAATGTATACATAGCTTGTATATAGAGGGTTGACCAGATGAACACATGGATATGTATACTTTTTAAAGAGCAACAATGTGAAAATATTTTTGAGACATTTAAGATCCAACAAGCAATCCTTACATTATTTTTTAACTGTAGTTTTTGTTTTGTTGTATACTATTGAAAAGAAGATTGAGAAAAGCAACACAAATTATCTAAGAATTAGGGAGTATATTAATACAGCGGTTGTCAACTGGAGACATTTGGCAATGCTTGGGGTCATTCTTGATTGTCTTGAGTACTGGAATCTTGTGAGCAGAGGCTGGGGATGCTGCTAAGCATGCTATAATGCACAGGACAGGCCTCCAGCTAAAAGTTATCCAGTCTAAAATGTCAGTAGTGCCTGCATTAATAGGATTTTTAGAATTCTAAACCCTAAAAGGATTCATAGCAATTTTGTAATTTAGGCTTACGACAAAGCTAGAGGCAAATTAGAGTCCTAAGATTATAAAATCCTGGAGCTGATAGGGAAAATCATTTATTGTCAGTCTGCTTATTTCTAAGTAAGGTAACAGTCACATAGGAAGAAAGGGACCTGAAAATATAACTCCTTCACCTCCTAAACATGTGACCAAGCAACTTGCCCAGTCTCTTTGTGCCTCAGTTTCCTCTTCTGCAAAAAGGAGTAATAAAACTTGTTTCAAATGATGGCTGTGAGGATTAACTAAAAAAAGAAACATATGTGTGTGTGTGCGTGTGTGTGTGTGTGTGTGTGTGTGTGTGTGTGTGTGTGTGTGTATATATGTAAAGTGTTTAGTACAGGACCTGGCTTAGCAGTTGTTAATAAATAGTGGTGATGAGCACCAAGGTGGTGATTATAATTATTGCTGTTGCCCAAAGTCCCAGAGCTAATTCGCAGTGTGTTTAACCCTGTTCACCTGACTCTTAATCCCATTTTCTTCCTATTACACTGCCTTGAGGAACTATGAAGAAAGGTTATGGGGCAACTTAAGGGAGGTTAAAGAAGACCACTCTGGAGAGCAGCTGAGTAGCTGGTGATTCAAGAGAAAGTCCAAATGAAAATTCTCCATAAAAGACAGAAAGGGGATTTAAATTTTAGATAGAGAGCTTCAAGGAAGCCTGAAACAGGCCACCTTCTCTCTTTCCAAAGCTCTGGGAATGGTGTTGCAGGTGGTCACAGCTCCAGAAGGTGGAGCCTGGACCAGATGACCTTCATCAAACCCTTACAGTCCTGACCGTGTTCACATGGAAGCAGGATGTCTATCTGTCTCTCTGGCAGGGAGGGTCCATGAAATGCTGATATAGACAGCATATCTGGGGACCTTTCCAACTCTAAGATTCTCTGGTGTCTGCCAAGTTTTATGGACTTTGGGCTGAAAAGATGACTTGACATTATAGATCATGCCCAATAGGCATGTGCAGACAACTGAAAACCTCTAGTTTTATGGTTTGTGAAATAAAATGCTCTATTAGGTTTTATGAATTCAGTCAACAAGAGCATATGACTAAGATGTTGTGTAAAACACTTTTTCCTCTGAACATGGTAATAAATTATCTTACCAGCAATTCTGTGAAATATGTTTCCTCTCATTTTCTTAAAAGACTTATAAAAATTCTTTGCAGTTGTTCTATGAGTTTACTTTTATTTCTCTTGTTGGGTTAGTCAACTAAATTGTTTTTAACTAGTGGCTTTCTATAAAAATTAGCAGAATTCAAAAGCATTAAAACTCTTCTGTGTTATAAACATAGATTAAACCCTCTTGTGGGAAAAATCTCATTCACATGGTAGTCGTCTCTTGAAAATTCCATTTGTTGGGCTGAACCCCTAAAATGATTCCACATCCCACAAAAATATTCTACATAATTAGTCACTTAAAGACATTTTCTCTTACATCAAGAATAAGTTGGTACATGAAAGAAAACTGAGTGAATCTCAGTTAATTTGATCTGTTTTCTATATATGTGTGTGACATCCAAGATTCACAAAGCATTAGGAGAAGAGCAACCCATGCCTGTCCAATGCGTGCTGATGGAGCAGGTACCAGGCACTAGGGCTAGAAGTTAAAAGTTCAGTGATTTGGCCCAAGTCACACAATTGGTAAGCGAGACAGCCAAGACAACACAGCCCTACCTGACTTCTAAGTGCATGGATTAAACACACAGTTTGATGCGTACTGGTGCTTGACAAAAAAGACAAAAAAGAATAAAAAGAATTATTCTTTGTTTAGAATAATAAACAAATCCCCTCAAAGATCAGATTGTTCTTAATGCAAAATGCCTCACTTAGATTATTATTCTGTATTTTAATTTGACCTTCAACTTTTTTTTTTTTTAGGTGTTGTGTAACGGACCAGGAACATGTGTTCCTATCTGTGTATCTGCCCTTCTCCTTGGGATACTAGGAATAAAGAAAGTGATCATTGTCTATGTTGAAAGCATCTGCCGTGTAGAAACGTTATCCTTGTCCGGAAAGATTCTGTTTCATCTCTCAGATTACTTCATTGTTCAGTGGCCGACTCTTAAGGAGAAGTATCCCAAATCTGTGTACCTCGGGCGAATTGTTTGACAAATGGCAATTTACTTTAGAATTTTGCAGTCAACAATAATATTTACTATAATTGAATTAAAAAACCCTACATGTTTTTTGTAAAAGCTTCTGAAACTCCTGAGAATTATTGATGATGAGGAGTAAAAAAATGTGCAAATGACTCAGTGAAGAAATGGAGGTTTCTCTTATAAAACAAACATTAATAAACAGTAACCATTAAAAGTTTATGCCTCTGTATACCAAATTTCTTTTCTAGATAAAAGTATGTGTCACTGCCAGACATCACTACTATGCAATTCATCCGAGTAAACAAAAACTATTGTACCCCTCAATCTGCTGAAATTTTTTAAAAAGCATGTCACTACTTACAAGTTATCTTCTGACTGTTTTGTAGTATTTTTTTTCTAGAACTAAATATAGAGTTTATATGATTAGTAACATTTCCTGTTCTGCAGTTTTTTTTTTTCTTACAGTATTCTGCATCATCAAAAGAAAAGTAAAAGAAAGGTATATGGCTGGGTGTGGTGGCTCATTCCTGTAATCCTAGCACTCTGAGAGGCCGAGGCAGGAGGATCACTTGAGGTCAGGATCTCCTGAGACCAGCCTGAGCAAGAGCAAGACCCTGTCTCTACCAAAAATAGAAAAATTAACTGGGTATGGTTTTGCACCCCTGTGGTCCCAGCTACTTGGGAAGCTGAGGCAGGAGGACCGCTTGAGCCCAGGAGTTTTAGGTTAAAGTGAGCTAGGATTTCGCCACTGCACTCTACCCGGGGAGACAGAGTGAGACACTGTCTCAAAAAAAAAAAAAAAAAAAAAAAGTATGTTCTAGTTTTTGTTTAAATACAACAAGCTTTATTTCCTGTATGGAAACAGTGATGTCCCCAGTGAATCGTTTCAGCATAAAGGAAGCAGGTCTATTAAATTGGCTTCATGACAACTTGTACTCCACAGACTTCCAGAACCTTGAGCATAAATCAGTATCTTTTTTTGTACTTCAGTCTTGCTTTATGAGTAGTTGGCTTCATTCCAGAGTATCTTTTAAAATCTCTTGTTTAATTGTTAAAATAAATTAAAAGGTGACCACTGTTTTAGCAATGAAAACATGATTGTATTTATCAGGAATCCAAACTCTCAAAACATTAAAAAATGTATTTTGGTAATTAATCTACATAATGTCATGGCTGTAGTTTTCTCTAGCATTTTGAGGTATTTAGGCTTGCTATATGCCAAGTATTCTGTATATATTTATTAACATTTTTATAGTGCTTGCTGTATGCCAAGTATTCTTCTAGGCACTTTCCAAATATCTCAATCCTAATAAGAACTCAGTGAGGTAGAGACTATTATTATCTCCATTTTACAGATGACTTGTCCAAGATGACACAAACAGTAAGTGACAAAGCCAGGATTCAAGCCCAGGTAACCTGGCTTCAGAGTGAGGCCTATTTCATCGGTGTGTGGCCTGTAGAGTCACATAGGGTCCCACACTTGGTTTAATACTCTGCTGTTACTCTCTTGAATTTCTTAATAATTTTTAACAAGGGATTTACATTTTAGACCTCACAAATTATGTAGCTGGTTCTACTTGCGACTTTGTGTTCCTGATGGTGCCGTGTCTGCTACAATAGAAGCACAGCACCCAGTGCAGTGCCTGGCCCAGGTAGCTCCTCAAACATGAATTCTGTTCCCCTCCCTCTAAGCTCTGCTCCTTCAACAAAGCAACAAAAAATGAGAAGACCTTCTCCTATAGTTTTTGAGTTTATATATATTTTTTCTCTTAAATCTTTGGTTTTATAAGTATGATACAGAGCTAATAAGTGGTAAATGATTAACGAAGATTGAATTTTAATGAAAAGAGGGATGATCACCCACAATGATGTAAAATTAAAATCCTGAGATTTTTCTAAAAGAACAAGCATTCCGTGTTCTTTTAGAAAAAGTCCTCTGAATCAAGCAACATTGGCACATCTGCGATCAGGACATTTTCCTAGATGTCCTAGGTGGTGAGAGCGCTTTGCCGTCTGGATTCGGTGGCCATGGGGCAGCCAAGTGGTAGTTCATTGTGCTTTGGTTTTAATCCTCAGATCTCAAGCCCTGGCTCTGTTTCCACTGACTATAGACTTGAAGTATCAGACAGCATATTATTGTGGTTCAACCAGCGGCTGAGTAGAAAGTAATCTACTACTTTTCTAAAGAGAAAGTGATTTTTTTTTAGAGACAACAGCATCTGCATTTTATTCATGTTTGAATCTTTCTCTGCTCTATGCTTTGTTCCTACGTGGCAGTAGGTAGATAGATGCTAAGGGAAAGTAGACTTTCTGTGCTGTGGGGCAGCTTCCCCAGGCCCACAGGTAATCCTGCTGCGGGGCCGCCTGTCAGGGCAGAGCTTACAGTGCTCAGACCAGGAAGAGTCGTAGAAAAGATGCCATAATTTTTTCCAGAAACATATGTCCCAGATGTTTTGCAGAGCCTTAACTTAGACAGTGGTTAGCCTGGAATGTCAGAGAAAGAATCCGTGTGTGTTATATCACTAAAGTTTAGAAATCTCTTCCCTGGGTTCAGGCTGCTGTACACACATTCAGAGCCAGGCCGAGGCACATGTTATCATGTCTTCCTGCTCAGATCCAGATTATTTGGTAAACAAGTGCGTGCTCTGTTGTTATTGTTATGGCTAATCTGAGTCCACAAGGTCACACTAGCAGAGGCTGGTTTGAGGTTAGAGTAGGGGCACAGTTTCCCTGCTGTGTATTTCTGTGACATTCAGAAAGATAGTGCTCTAGTCTCAACTCAAACTAAAGACGATCAGTAGCTAGCTTGTCCTTTCCAATTTCTCTGGAATGCAACTTTTATTGTAAGAGAATGTTCATGAAAAATTAACTGAATCAGTGTTCAAATGAGAGGCAGGGAAACCACACATCCTGCCCACACCTACTTCCCTGGAAGATCTTTATCTACAGTTCAGCTATTCTAAAAGGTCTCAGCAGTTTGCCAGGTCAGAAGGTCCAGCTGTTTCAAATAGGACACCCAAAAATCATGACAGGAAGCTTTAGCCTGGAACGAGGAGCTCCATGAAATCGTGTCAAGAGGAATGTTGTACAGTTTTGAATTAAATAGCAAGAGGTCCTTGCCAGAAAGAAGATGACCCAAGCTCCCCCTTACAAAAGCAACTTGAAACACACTGTTTAGTTTACCTTCCAAAGGTAGAAGGTAGGTTAAAATTGGGAAACACACCCCATTACTATGCAGTTCCTTAGGCTGAACCAGTGCTTTATTTTTTTCTGAGAAGCCCCATCCTCCAAAAGGAATTTGGTAGCAATATATTAAACACCTTTTATCAAGGATGAAAACATCATCATGAGTGTTAAAGAAGATTGTCCTTCTACAGACAGATCAATGTTTGGGGCCTTATGAGTTTTCTTGCCATAATTTCGGCTCTGATACACAGTGAGCAGAAACCCAAATCTTGTCTGTTGTGAACGTTCTTTAGGGCCCATCACTCTAGCACTCTCAAAAACAAATGATCTACAACTGCGTTCTTGCTGCCAACTCATTTTAAACATGGATCTGACACAGCCCCTCCTTTTCCCTCTGGAGTAGTTAACGGATGCTCGCCGGCTAGCCTCTGTCATATCCCTCAAGCAGCAAACTTTGGAATCATTTTTGTTTTTTTACTCTCTTTCCTTATCCACATATAATTGGTTGCCTTTTATTCTCCCACTATCTCCAGAATTTCCCCTTGTTTTTTCTTCCACTTCTCTCCTTGGAATTACCTTTACTTTCCTCTCCCTTGTCATCTGAATTCACTTGTTGATTCTGCCTTTGACCTGGTTGGTATCTACCTTTTCCTTTTCAGTCCCACAGTCACAACCTAAGCCAGCTCTTCAACGTAAATTCCTTGTTTGATTAACGCATTTTGTGGAGGCACAGAGAGGTTAAGTAACTTATTAAAAATTATAGAACTATGTCTATGGCCATACCACCCTGAACATACCGGATCTCGTCATAAAAATTATAAAACTAGAAAGTGTCAGAGCCTGGATTTGAACCAAGGCATTCTAGCTCCAGCCAGACTTACCTTAACAGCCATGTTAGGTTTTTTAAAAAGTGCTATATAAAAAGTGCTATAAAGGAAATAAACAGACTGGGTGCAGTGGCTCTTGCCTGTAGTCCCAGCTACTCAGGAGGCTGAGGCAGGAGGATCACTTGACCCCAGGAGTTTGAGGTTGCTGTGAGCTAAGCTGACGCCACTGCACTCTAGCCAGGGCAACGGAGCGAGACTCTGTCTCAAAAATAAATAAATAATAAAGGAAATAAGCAATGTGCTATGATGGAGAAGAAGGTACTCGGTGCTCTAGATAGGGGTATTAGGAAAGGCCTTTCTAAGAAAGGGACATTTTAGCTGACTTCCAAAGGATAACACCTTAAATATTTGTCTTCCTTCCACTTCACCTCCCAACTTAGATTTCACGTACTCCACAAAGTCGTCTTTGTCTCCATCCTAGTGTGAGCAGCTTCTCTAAACACCTCTGCAACGTAGCCGCCGGTACCAAAGCTTAGCGCTGTGTTACCCACCATCGTGTTGCAGGTCCCTGTACTTAGACCATACCTGTGAAGGGACGAATGAATGATTTGCTAATTATTTCTTAATGTTTGTCCTCAGGGACTATACCTCATCCTAGTTTTGCATACTTGTTCCGCTTTTGATAATATTTATACCACAGTTCTGTACAAAATATAGATATTAATTAAATATATATATTCTTACAGCTTCAGACTTTGTCTAGGTTCACTTTAGTTATATTTTATCTAGACCAGTGGTTCACAACCTTTTTCTTCTCAGGACCTCATTATACTGTTAAAATTTGGCTGGGTGCAGTAACTCACACCTGTTATCCCAGCACTTTGGGAGGCCGAAGTGAGAGGATCACTTGAGGCCAGGAGTTCAAGACCAGCCTGGGCAACACAGCGAGACCTCATCTCCACAAAAAAAAATTTTAAATTAGCTAGGCATGATGGCACATAGCTGGGAGGCTGAGGCAGAAGGATTGCTTGAGTCCAGGAGTTTGAGGTTACAGTGAGCTATGATCAGACAACTGCGCTCCAGCCTGAGTGACAGAGCAAGACCCTGTCTCTTAAAAAAAAAATTATTGAAGACTCCAATGCACTTTTGTTTTTGTGAGCTATATTTGTCAATATTTACCACATTAGAAATTAGAGAAGAATTTTAAACCCAACAGTAGTCAAGGACACATTCTAGTAGCTGTCAGAGCAATGGTA